CTAACATATTGCGTTCTCAGGAAAATTGAAAAGGCCTACATAAAGCGAGGTCATATTGTAACATTCCAATCGATTTGATAGTTTGTTTTAGAACAAGCCGTTAGTTAAATTAATAAATTATTTCCAGTTGTAAGTAAACAAGAGCTTTTACTGATTCGCCGTTCAACTGGTTTTGTTAAGCTCACCTTATCTCTCATTTATATTTCAATTATTTTGACAATTCACGTGATTAATTATTGAAAATACTCTTGTTAAAATAGTATTTCAACTGTCTTGACTTATCTTAGAGAAACATTTTAAAAATGTAGATTACAGCTTCCGTTATAATAAATGGTAGACAAATCACATCTTTCAGTACAACATTGAATAGTCTTTTCTATAGAGTTATTTACTCAAACAATGTCGTTCTCAGATCCCATTGTTGTATCAAGGGCGCCGCGTTAGACAAGTGTTTTTGTACTTATCGATTACATCCTCAATGTAGAGTCTATTAGATACGGTAATAAATTAATGGGTAACTGTTCAACTTGGAAGGGAATTAGCTCGTCTAACGTCAATAACGTTAACGTTTTAAACATAAAGTTAACGTACTGTAACGTTAGATGAGCTATTTCCCAGATAACCTGTGACAAATCACAGGATTTATATTGTATTGCAGTGATGAATCAAAGTTTAAATTTTTTTCCCACTCGTAGATCTATATTGCAAAAGATTTTGACGACAAAACGTACTTTATCATAATAGTTAATTTAGATAACAACTTTGTACAAACGTATTAAAAAACATCATGTTCGAAACTGGAACTTTACCATATATGTTACACAATACACAAGATTGTCATGATCCTACGAAAACGTGACGTAAGACAAACGTCCTTGGTTAAGTTATGCATACCTACGAGCTACGAGCAACAAGGCAAGGCGTGCGGCATTATCGGACATACTATTTTATTTATTCGCAGATATTTATAGCAAACCACTTTATTCGTCATAATTAGAAGTATTCCATCACGTAATTTAGATGGCGAATTATTTCGTAATAAAAACACTTGCACCTATGTCGCTAAAATGAATGACAAAGCGTAGTTATGACTCATTTTTATGAGAATTCAATCATTGCCATATTAAGTGTTAAGTAGGTGGGTACAGACGTGTCTTTTTGAATTATTTAACAGCGCCTTCTACGAAATCACTACCGGTATAATTTCATCAATAAGTATTTAGTTTGATATTGCACACTTAACTCGCATAGATAGGGGATGATTTTCTTTTACATCCATTGACGTGCCTTACAGAATAAATAAGTAAATCAAAACAGCATCACAACATATTTTTATTTTATTATATTTCATGCATAACAACTCTAGTTAAGTATAATTTAACATAACTATATATGCTATGAGAGATTTCTAACGACTAGTTTTATCCAAAGTAATAAAATCCTCTAAACATTTTGTTATTAAAATGTTGCGACCTTTTAACAACGATCAATATTAATTTTGCGGCCGAAATTAACTCGCACTTAGCCCGACTTTTTATACGACTGATGTAATCAGATTTCTTTAACCTTACCGTGGATTACTCATCGGTTAAAGGTGCCCTTTGAGGTTATGTCGTCACGCTTATTCTTATACGAATATAAACATATGCCAAGCGAAAACGAAATAATGAAAACCATATAATTTTTCTAAATTCATTACAGTTGTCATAACATTGAGAGTATGTTTACATGAAAATATTAAAAGAACGCATGTTATAAGTAAAAACCAACCAACAAGTTTTAGTTAAATAACTATTTCAGATTCCAAGACGTATGTAACCTGGCTTCCTTCATATCATATCATTGGCAATAATTGAACTGAATTTAAAATATACCATTTTTGTACTTGTTTCGTTGTGATGGCGTTCAAATCCAAATTGTCATCTAGATAAACAATTTAATTGCATAAATTGACAAGCATTTGTGTGTGCATTTCTATTATTTCCAAGCCACTCCTTGACAAATACCTTTGAAATACTCAACGAAACTGGTCTTTAGCCACTCATAGGATTGTTAAGGTCGCTAAGGACATTGTACTCCAAGGCGGAAAAGGTTGGAAATTTGATACTTGTTCTGTCAATGTATGAAGTACTCACATATGTCGAAAGTGTGATGTATTTATAAAATCAGCGGGAAGACGTAACAATGAAAGAACTGAAGATCGGTGAGAGTGGTAAAATAAGTTCTACAGAAGGTTTTCAATCTATGTGAATCGCATTATAAATTAAATTATTAAAAGTAAACAAAAGCGACATAATAGCACTTGTCAAAAAGTGGTATTTCATAAAAGATTGTAATTAAGAGGTACAATCGGAACTGAATAGATCCAGTAATTACGTAATTAATTAATCGTTATGTAATTGTAATATTTAATGCAAAATTCTTAATACATATTTTAACATAGATCGTTTAAGTAGAAACATTAATTAACTTTAAGTGATTAAAATAAACATGGTATTTTTTTAGTAAATTACATAGATTTTAGTTATGTAACATGTAGTTAAATTCAGTCAGTAATGTTATATTCAATAATTTCATTAAGAATTAAAATAATTAAGTATAGATTGTATTTTATTTACTACTAGCTTTCGCCGGCGTGGAATTACAAAAAACTAAAGTGAGTAGCCTATGTATTCTCTCAGACTATACTATAGATCTATGTCAAATTTCATCCAGACCGCTACAAACTCTAACAAACATCCATCCATCCATCTAAACTTTCGCATTTAAATTATTAGTAAGATTATTTAACATTAATACTTCTCCAAGGTAAAACATTATTTGTTATTATAATATTAAATATGAAAATATTTAAATTACACTTGCAACAAAAAATTACATAATTAAATTCGTTATTTTCGATATTAGACTGTACTTATACTATTTAATATCTTAATATACAATTAATGAGAAATATATGTGATATGTGTCCACCTTTTAAAATAACAGTTCGGTTCTCACTGGTAGAAGTTTATAAAGAAGCAAGCAAGGTCTAGTTTTTTTTTCTTTGCAGTACTTTATACGACGAACTGTACCGTATAAACACGGTGTATTTTATACACACCGGTTTCCTGTGTATTGTATATCTTTACACATGTCCCGGCCCTAAATGCCTCTGAACCACGAATCCCAAGAATAGGAAACACCTGGCTGACAAATATACTAGTACATCTGACGTTTCGAGCAAAAAAAATCGCGTTGTTAACTACATTTAAATAATTGTTTTAATTAGATTTCTTTAATATCCTACCTAATATTAATAACTTTTGTATAAATCACAGGACCCGTTTTTTTTGTTTCAAAGTATTTCCTACAATATTATCGGAATAATCTATTCCAAGTAATCTCGTGGCGTGCCCATTCAAGGTCATGTGATTATATTTGATATTTGGATGATTCAGTTTGCTTTAGTAACACGTAATGTTTATATTATATGTGACAAAAATCTTCCTGCATTTCTAAATCGGTCAATATATTTTACACTGCAAATGTTATAAATATTATAGTTAATTGTTTATACTGAATTTACGTGAACGAAACCATCATATATCAGAAAGAGCAATTAAGGTTTCGGTCTCACTTTGTAACTTTTTTTCTATAATAATAAAATTAATGGTGAGATATGTTGTGTGTTACACTTTATACATAGATTTTCACAGACATCAATCTTAAGGACTTCCATGAATGCAATCTAGTATCCTATAAGTCCGTATCTACAACAAATACTCTCATTGTTGATAAACATCAATCGCTTTCATTAAACAAATGTAAATCTTATGTGAGGTGATCACAAGGATGAATATGTTACCGATCGATTTCGAAATCAGGCCGTTTATCCAACTATGCATAATACAAACTGACAATATGTGAACTTAACGAAGTAGAACTTAACATTCGTAGTCGAGTGGTCGAAAAATGTAAATCAAGTTTATCGAATAAAAAATATTGATTAAGTATTGATTGAATATTTCGTTTTGTTTATAATTTACTGGCTGCTAGTGATATTACTAAATGATGATCTTCACAGTCGATCGGTAACACACAATAACGTGTGTGACTTCGTTGGGACTTGACACAGACTGAGATGATATCAGCCCAGTGGGCGACTAAAACACTTCGCTCGTCCTCGAATATAAACTCCTACGACTCAAATGCCTATTATGTATAAGTATGTTAATGAACCCTTAATAGTTAAAATACTTAATACTGATACGCCAGTCTGCATTCCGTTGTCTTTTCAATTTTATTACTTACTAATCATCCATTGTTTTAAGGAAAAATATAGTAGGATCAATTTAAAATGAATCTATTAATTGGTTTCTGCGTCAACCAAACAAGTTTTAGTCAAATTTTTGATTTTTTAATAATAAATAGCACAGTTGAAAATGAAATATTATGGTGTTTTTGCCGTAAAATATCAACACGTTTAGTGCCACCGACTCGCCTGGCAAGTTACAAATACAAAACGGAGTACTAATCCGTATATTTGCGTAGGCTGTATTATTCCTACGAGCTGCAAAGATCCCATTGCTTGCTCATACTATCTACTGACCTCTATGGCATCAAAAAGCTTTCTCAGCAATAAACGACAGCACAAACGACCTCAATAACTCGCATACACGTACACATTCAGCCGCCTAGTGTGTTCACAGCATAATTTAACGACATAACGCTCCTTCATAACTTCTTATGAAGATATAACACAGACTAATTTGCACAATGAAATCACACTAGGTATTTGCAGTTAATTTTTAGTCTTGAGCCGTCTTATGTCATGTTTTAATAATAAGTCTACGTTGAGTCGTGACGCAGTTTTATTCACAAATACCGGTACTTCTGCAACTTAATAACTTAAAACCATTTATCGTTTTTATCTAGTAAAATACGTACTTTATTGATGGAAAATTTGGAATGTGGTATAATAATGCGTCTATTTTTTTAATAAATCAAATAAGACTCACCAATTGGACGATCTTTAACAATCCCGGTGGTGCTTTAAAGTAATCTATGTTAATTTTGATCCAGTCTAGCGGTCCGCCTTGCTGCTGCGGCGGCGGCGCTTGCTGCGGGGAAGGCTTGTTGGGGTCTACGGTCACCACTGTCTCGGGAGCCATCATCCTTTAGAATATGTCCTTGGAGGGAGCGAAAAAAAAACAAAAGTTTCTAGGTGTTTAACACACGAACACTGTCACTAGAAACTTAGTGCACTAATGACCCGTAACACATTTTTGTCTGGCGAGCGAGCGAGCGTCGTGTACGTGTCGAGCGACGACCGACGAGTGTAGCAGAGTGGCGCGGGCGCGGGCGCGGAATGAGAATGGAAGCCGGGGCAGGCAGAGCCGCGGCCGCGTTCCGTGCTGCCTAGTGACGCGCACTGAGGGCAATTTATTTTAGGTTTTAGGTTCGAGCTTCGACGTGATGACTATAAAACGTAATTATTTTTTATTAATCATTAATTAATAAACATCGCCGAATACAATTGCATAATTTATATGAATGAATTTTGTAAATTTAAATAAATGGAACAAATTAGTTTTATCCACCGTTCTAGCAAAATCTTCAAAACTACCTGCTCACAAAGGTTTACCTGATTTAATAGAACACTGGCTCGTTTAGCAAAAGAGAAAGCAGATCTTACCATCCATGAATATCTTAACCATAATATTGACTCAGCTTTCCACCAAACAAACAGCAAGGGGTACCTCTACGTCTACAATGTGTTTACGTTGTCTATAAAGAAATATAGGATTGCGATTTGAAATGAGCGAGTGACTGACCTCGTCCTGATAGATAGATTTGAGTATGTTAAAAAGTATTAAATAATATCCACATTGTAGTTGTAGTCAGAATAAGTTTGTAAAAAGAAAATTATAATAGTCATAATATAATTTTGACAAAGTTAAGCTTTTCACATTATGAACCAAAGTTGTAAACTCTATTTAGAATTTCTGCGTTGCCTATCCGTCGGAGGTAATAAATGAGTCTATTGACTCTGGTTACTTAACTGCATAGTAACGGTATACACTTAGCTTACCTTCGTAGTATACAGCTGAAGTTCGTCTGCTGTCTGCTTAAAAAAATCATTTCCAATATGTACTGACATAAATATGTGAATTTGACCTTGTCTATTTTCAACAACGCAGCGATTAACGCTTCTACATAATACTCATAATATTGAAGATACAAAATAATTTTCGCTGCTAAAATGGACGCTGACATAATTTATAACATTTCATTTCATCTAGTTAACGTAGATTGAATAATAGCCACTTTATTCAGCCTTATTACGATCTAGGTTATTGAATTGTCCATTTTAGTGTTTAAAACAAGTTTTTGTTTAGTGGAGGCGTTGACCAACATCGTCTGCTTCCGTGGGTGTTTACATTGGTAGGCGAGCCGATCAATGTTAGCGGCATAACTGAGAAATTTAATTTTCAAATATAACTAAGAGAGGTATTACACAAATGTTGCATGGTCGTACAAAAATTACGTATATGTTTAAGTAGAAAAGATTGATGGGACGTTAGATGCATACGATAGTTAGATTAGTATAGTTGGCGAAGGACACACCAAAATTGCTGAGCACATATCGTTATTCTCAAATTGCTTGCGCAACAAATATGATGTCATGTGTTCAGGAACATTACGGTAAAGTCACGTTGATACTTAAATCAATGCAATCATGCAATTTATGATTTTTCAATGAACTTTTCCAATGAATTTCAATTATGTGACTGATGAAACTTATCTCTTTTAAAAAAAACTTTGTGGGTATATTAAAATAACAATATCAACAGTATCTTTTTTTCTTGGTTAGATCTATCAATCAGACACAATTACCAATATTAGATTGTTAATGTGACAAAGCGAGTTTATAATTTTTTAACCAAACCAAGCTAACAGTAGAGGTAAACAATGGGTCGGAATCGGGACCGCAGTGCAATTATAACGGTTGCTTCAAGCGTTATTTACTCATAGAGACCATAACAGTTCTTCCACAATAAAACAGTAAGCTCGGTAATGTACTCACTAATACCTGTACCTATATAATTAAAATGAATGAAAACATAATTTACAATTCACAGTAGGCTCATCAAATCCATGCTCGTCGTGTTATTCTGTGACATTCACGATAGGAAAGTTTAATCCAATTTTTCCGATTCAATTTGTGTCTCAAAGAATGCTCCTACAAATTAATTATATTGAGTTCGAAACCACAATTAAAATACAAACCACATCAGATTCAGCTTCACAAATCAGGATATGAATCTTGATATCAAATTCCTACAAAATATTTAGTACACTATAAAAAAAACATAGACGTTGCGAAAGTTGTATTGAAGTTGCCTTATACGTTATTTAATAAATATTTTAATTAAACTAATTTAATTAAACAACGACGCATTAAAACAAGACTACCTTTATCTTAGACGAAAATTATCCAAAGGGATTCGAGCAAAGAATTTAACCGTTGACACAGACAAAAATTACGTAAGAAATCCGTTGCCGTATCAGGGAAAAGTAATAATTCTATGGTTATGTTTTCTACGAAACACCTAGCCCGGGTCAATAGCATCTTAAATTTGATGACTAAAAAATTGGTTTACATGACCAGATAATTATTTTAGTGAACCTCCATGACATGGGTGTTAAAAAAAAATAATTTTACAGCCAATTGTATGCTGCTGTATATATGCATATCATTGATGGGTACATCAAAACAGTGATATTACTTATGCTAAGTTTTAATAAAATGGGAAAGGATTAATGAAATTAAAAATTCTCTATTATAACAAAGGAATTCGTTAAATACAAATCCACACTTACTAAGTATTATTTAGTACATTTCACTAAATTTACAAAATAAAATGTCATGAAAAAATAATGATAAATCTTAATGGTAGTGTAACATTTTTCAAATATATCTGTGTTTAAACCTATTTTATGACCTCTTTTGAGGTCGCTCAGTGGAATGCTGTTACGACTTTGTTTCTTGTCTCCCAGTGGCTTAATGTCAAAATTAAAATAACCAATATTTACAGTTCTTTAGTAAAAATGAAAGAAAAAGTGATAAATAAAACAAAGATTATTTTTTCAAATGTATTGCATTAACCTTAGAAAAAGAAGCCTAGGATCTTTCCTCCCAAATGTTTCCTTCTGGCTTCTTCATGGTCCATTATGCCACCACTAGTAGTAAGGACGAGGTATCTGGAATTAAACAAAATAATTATAAGAATATGGCCATAAATAATCACTTATTACAATAATATCAAAATCTGTTTACATCTGCAACAAAGTTTACTTGCTTTTTCATAGCTTAAGTTGAACCCTTTCGCTTTAATTATGGATAAATTCAATGTTTGTATTGAAAGTAAAACTAAATGATGAAAATAAATGGAATCATTAGCTCAGGAATATTAAATTACCAATGAAGTCACTTAAGTTAGGATAGGCTCCGAGCCCATCAATAGGGACATATAGTGAGCTGGTGATGTAGATCATAATGAATAAAAATATCATTTATTTTTTTTAAGAAAACAATTTGAATTGTAATATAGTATAAATCAGTGATGCCAGAAAATGAGGGATGTTAACCTATCCTCACCGATCTATTGCTAAAAATAGGACTATGATTGTATGAAACTACACAGACAATGCTTTCTATGAAAGTAGCATCAATTTGTGTAAGAACATTTACTATGGCACAATACTTCAAATGACAACCAACAAGAACTATTGGTGATCCGCGGTGATTGTGCTGGTATAATTTAAAATCTGGAATTATTGGTAAACTGTTGATCAAATTTATTTAATCAAGACATTCATAAATGGTCACAGCTCTTCTTAGTGGACAAGAGTTTAAAAAAAAATAATTGTTTACTGAAGTGAAACTACAGCATAAAAATGTTTCTGATTCACAATTTGTAAGAAGTAATTTAACCATTTACTGTTACACTACACATTCATAGTAAATTCAATTTAAATTACAAGTTGAATGGTTAACTCATATACACAATAAAAATTTACAATGGTGTACCATGCACCTCAAATGATTTCAACCCACAAAGTGTTAAAACATTACTACTAATTCACACAGCCTGTTACAAATGACAGCAACTTTTATATTTATGTATTATAACATTTGCATTATTATTTTACAGCTTGTAATTTCATAAAACATAACTATGACATTAAAGATGGTATGAAATTACTTGACAGATAATTAAATTAAGTTTTGAAGGGTGTTGGAGGACAATAAAATTAAGGTTTAACCAATATTCACACTAAAATAACCAGGAAACTTACCCGAACTGCCGGGATGGAAGGAGGTTAGTCCACCTTTCTATATCGTTGATGGGTACATCAAAACGCGGTGATATTACTCCACATTTGTTTAATCTGCCGGTGAGGTTGACTACTATTTTTCCAGCCCTGTGATCATCTACAATTTCAAATTCACCGATGTATCCGTGCTTCATCATCACAGTGAGGAACTTAACAATAACTTTGGAGCAGGGCCGAATTAGCACTTGCCGTTTGCCTCTCCTCTCAGCATTGTGAATTGATTTCAAGGCATCACTCAATACATTCATTCGCACCATGGCTGAAATTTAGAAACAATTACTGTAGAAACACTTCACCAGCGCACGGAAGAAACGTCAAAACATATCTAAACAATATAGGTTAACAAGATGTTTGTACGGAAATAACTGAAATAATATTTAAAACAGGGTACTTGATGAATATTGTATTAGATTTGGTTCAATTTACGTTCATGAATTCGGTAAATTTAATGATTACCTAGGATTAAAAACCCGCCTCAACGTTCAGTAATGACAGGTTAGCCGAAAAGAAAAAGAAAGATTTCTGTGACGCCGGTGTTGCAAACGCTAAAATTAGGGGAGGCATAAATACAAGCTCAGGTTTTGACATTCTGTTATCTATGGCGTTTTTTACGTTACTTTGACCTTAAATAGTAGGACCTTTTAAGCGTCGTATAAAAAGAAATATTTAATTCTACATTTGCTTCCTTGCATGCTTTTTTGAGTCAGTATATATCCATGAAGACTTGTGATAATAATATGTACACTTGTGATCAATGATTATCATCTTTACCTCACCCCTCACTAGAAACGGCAGAATTTGTACTGTACAATCCAACAGGGACTCCTATTCCTTGTCCATTCCTACTTAGTCAAAGTAATGACCGAAAAGATTTGTCTGTGTTCCAATTTTGTTTTAGTAATGTTGCCCAAAGAAAAATTATATTAATGTCAATTCATTCTACAATATTTGGTTTTAATAACCACATACCTAATTTAAATGTTTCTTAAATATTTCATGGGTATTCATAATTTGGTAGAAATAGAACGAAAATTAAGATTGAAGTCTTTTTGGTTTTTTTTTTGTTCACATGTCAGTGTGACCAGATTTATTGGAATTCCACCATTTCAGCAGTATTAAATCCTAATTACTCTCTTATATAAGAAAACAGATTTTTACCTAAATTTTTAACACAACAATTTATCAAAAAAAAATACCTAAATTTCTTTGGAAATTGGGCTAAGTAATTTTTTCTAAATGTATGCTTAACCAAAAGTTAAAGTTTTATGTGATACTTATTTTGCAATCATCGAGCTTTGGTCTTTTGTACATATAAAACGACATTTTTGTAACCGCTCTTATGATTAAGATTACTTACGAGCAAGTAGAACTTTTACACAATGTATTTGGACAAGTTGTTAGCAGAATGTTCAATTCAAATTCTGGTCACACTGTGTGGGATTGTATGTACCCGACAAGTTCGTTCGTACGTACGCACGCGTCCCGCTCACGGCCGACGAGTGTAATAATAAGTGATTGTGAAATAAAGTTTGAAAAACTTTCAAAGTTTTTGATTGTCGTAAAAATTATAAAGAAAGTAATGTATTTATTTTCTTTTTTTAACCGTGAGTTTAAATGTGATTAAGTTAACGTTAAGTTATGACCATGTACTTTGTAAACTTACTTTATAGGGCCCATAAAGTTGAGTGAACTTTCGTACCTTCGTAACGTTTGGAATCGCGCAAATCCCACAGGTGTGTTGTGAGAGTTAAAATCCTAGCAACCAGTTCAAAAATGCAGTTTTGTTTAAGTATCTGTTTGACTAACACATATTTTTGTCATGAAACAAATTCAGAAACAAAAAGTTTTGTGCAATTGTAAGTGGTGAGCAAATACTTTATATCGGGTTATGGAAGAATTAGAACGGTTACTAAAGATGTATTCGAGGAAATTAATTGGGATCCTGTTAACAATATATTGTTTTATACAAATTATAAATGCTGCAGAAACTTCAGGTAAGTGTATATTAATGTTTGCAAATAATTTTCTTACTTTTGCAATGATTTAAAAATGATATTTATAAATTTTGAAACAGTCATAAAAAAATAATTCAACACTTTAAAATGAAACAAGGGAAATACATTTTGTTTTACAATACATTACAATCTCATTTTTATTTATTTTTAACTATTTTATAATATTGTCAGAGCGATTTAAGAAGGTTTTAATAAAATAATTTTATTAGTGGCATATTGATTCTATTTTATTGTAACTTTCAATTGTTTGTTAGTGATTATTCTTGATACAAACCTTAATAAAACAAAAAAGTTATTATTATTATTAGTCATACCCTTTATTTAAGTATGAAAGGCAAAAGTAAACTTTTCATGGAACAAAAATATTTGTTGTATAATAATACTTGTTCCATGAAAAGTTTACTTTATTAACTTAAAAATTTATTTTTATGATTTAGGTATTACTAATACTATCATTACTTTGTTTAACAGCAATTTGAAGTTTATTTTCTGGAACCTGGGTATTTGATACTAGGTTCTATTATTCAAGTTATTAATATATGAAAAACCCTTCTTTACTCAGTAACGGCACAACACAGAAAGCAACTTAGTTCAGGTAGTTTGCATATGAAACGGAATACTTTTTATATTTGGGATGGGACCGCCCAAATACTCATTCAAAAAACTATTGTTATAACACTCATTTTTGTAGAAAAAACTGAGATAACTATGTGTTATTGTATAGGTGTTTCTGCACTGGTAACCTACAATATAAATTTTTTTTTGTTATTTCTATAAAACTTTACTGAGCAGTAAAAAAAATTGAATAATATACTTTAATTTTTCAGTCATTTTATATTAAAAAAAAATTGTTATGATAAGTGCATATATATGAAAAATTATTTAAGATACATTTGATTTCTTTATCTTATATATTTCGTACTGAAAGTTAAAAAGACCAAGTGTCGAACTAACGATTTCGTTACATGTTAGATTCAAGTCTTCCAATTTGGGAAAATCTTAAATTTCAATGTTTAAAATAAAACAAAAAAACAACTAAACTAGGATGTTATAATAGCCTGGTAAAGTTTAAATTCGACAAAGTGTAAGGCAGTAAAGATAAATGTATTTCGGACGCACGAAACTCGTGAAAATTAAGTTGAAATTCGCGTGACTGAACAAACCGATTGTTTATTGAAACACAAGAACAGACAATCTAGTACCATAATGAAGTTAGCGAACTTTGAGTGGATCTAAAATATTCAATTACCAATTAACGTCTCAGTTTGCTTGCTTATGCATACAGACGTACCTAATTTGCAAAGGATATTCGACTTCATACGCAACATTAGCTAAATAAAATAATTTATACTAGAAATAAGTATTATATTCATGTTTATTCAAAATTAAAATATATTGGTTCTTAAATCGATAAAGAATCGATAATATATTTATAAACTTTTAGCTTTAACTGTAAAACTTTTAACATAAACCCATTAAGTAGCAAGAAACGGAACGCGAACTGACATTATAACAGAATCCGACTCTTAAATGCATTTTGTTCTTGTTTACAACGATGGGAACTTTAGCCAAGCGCATCTCAATACGATATTTACAGTAGCTGCTAACGTAATATTAAACTTCTTTGTTTTAATAACCAGTACATGTCTGCGACTTCTTTCTCATTCTGTATATTCGCAGTGCGATCTTGTTACCCTGGATATGATATTTATTGACGTTATTAGAGACAGGGGAAAAAACCAAAATCTTTATATCATATTTGAAGACTAAGCATCCGTCAACTCAATTATAACCCTTACTATTTCGATTATTAATTATCCATATAAATATATAAAAAGTTCATAAACATACAGAAAAAAATCTCGATTGTGGATGCATAATTTATTCACAAGTCTGGTATACACGGATCGGGTAAAATATGAGACGACTTTATGACTGAATAACTCTTTCAGTGTTCGAGGACGAGGACGGGCGTACAAGCGGCCTCACAGAAATGCATTCACGAGCACGCACGAGAACCACTCGAGGCGCATTTCGAATACATCCTGTAGCGGACTAACGCTTCTATACCGACAGATCCTCGTGTATTACACATATTATTTGAATACACTGGATAACAATTACACATTATATATTGTGTAATATCTGTAAAAACATTAACTATAAATGAAAATCCCCTTTCATATTATTTAGTTTGATGTAGCCATATCGTCATAAGCATTTTAAACGACGTGATTATACTACAAATGAAATGTACATTTTATATTACATGTTCGCGTCCTGTGGAAAATAATAATCAACTAAACCGAGTAATAACTCTGAGCATAATTTAAGATGTTTGTATGAAAGTTCTTTCTTAAGGAGCAAAAGGAGTATATGGGCAAGGCAACGGCGGCGGTAAACATCGTCATAAAGGCTGCACTGTGACTCCGTACGCCGCTAGCTGCAAGCAGCTGCTGCAGCGCTGTATGGAGTTATTAATATTGGAGCACGTTGCGGCCCGGGTAAATACACCCAATGACGCGTCTCGACACAATATCAGTTTCAGTACAACCTTTAAGCTCCTACCAACCTTATATTACAGAATTAGTTATTTGTTTTTATCTTTCTCGTTATACAAGATGTTAATAATTTCTCATGAAGCGACGCCGTCGATAAACCCTGACCCCTCTTCCTCGTTCTAATTAAATAATGAAGTCTTCCTAGAAATTAGTAATGATCGTAAAAAAACATAATTAAAAGTAACGGAAATTTAATAATTTAGACAGACGAAATTTGTATAAAGAAGGAAGACATTGTTTTATAAACAGTGACGTAGTTTATTTTCGTAAATTGTATACAAAAATAGACTGGCTACGAATAAACTATCAATTGATTTTGTATTTCTTTACAAAATGTTTGTCAAATCTTCTTGAGATAACAAAGCCTTAAAGTTGCGCAACTTATTCAGTCGTTTAAACGTTAAGTGTTACATTGTGTGCGACCGTGAGCAGTAATTAGGAATCACTAAACCGTATCTCGCTGCTTTCACAGTTGATAGTTTAAACTGTGTCAAATGTGCTTACGCAATAAGCGGCATTTGTACTTTAAAAGTAATATATTATTGTATATTATTTTCTTTTTTCAATAATCCATAGCAAAATATCATCAGGGCTTTAAAAAATAGTATCTACGAGTTTAAAAGCATTGAGAAAGGATTATTTTATTATATTCCATTGGCTATGATTGAAATAATTGTTTTGTAAATTACAGTAATTTAGCGATAGAAGTATTATTTTACCTTACTGATTGAGTTTGATAATTGAGGAGAAATTTGGGCTAAATATTTGCTCCAGTATAAGGTTTTATAAAATCTCATCTTTAGTGTTTGTTCATCAGTATTTCGATATATATTCAGGATGAGAAATATCTGGGGTGCGAGGAAGGATATCCGTTTTAAATAATGAGCGGTTCACACCGGAAAACGAAGAAGCCGTGAAATTATTGCCGAGAACGATTTTTTTACTGTTGCCTTTTTATATCTGAACTAGGGTTCGAGTATACGCTATACTTTCTAGCTAAACTCTCCTGTATTCATAATCAGTTCCGGATTTTGCATACAGTACAATAGATAAGGAAATCCCTTTAGAATTAGTATGATGTCGAACTCAATTAACTTTAATAATAGCGGAAACTACAGGCCCAATGAAATAGACAACAATTTGGACAAGAACGATAGTTCGCCGGGATCGTTACATTTCCCTGGCGACGGGTTTCGGAAGTCGACACGACATTTCGGAAATAATCTGGAGTCCCGGTTGCTACAAACGGCTGAACCCTTCTATATTATTTAAAACCAATCAATCGAAGAAAACCCGGGTATTTTCGCATGCTGTATAAACAGGAATATTTGAATTAGGTGAGACAGTATTTGTTAGGTTAAGCAGCGCAGCTTATTTATACTCGTAAGTGGCTTTTTTATGCTTATTGTAGCTTGATACAATTGTCTTTACTAATTTATGTAATAACTATTATAAATTTCACCATAAGTATAAAAATAAACTGTCCCAGTTAATAAATTAATGACATACTCTGTCATGTGCTGTTTGCTTTGCTATTAAATTTCATGAAGTAAAGAATTTTGCATTTGTACACATCGTCACCGTTAAATTGGCATTTAATAAGTGCTGAATGTCCTGTCAACATCATAGAAATACACGTCAGATTATCCTAAGATTTAGATTAGATTTAACATAAATCTTCTCCAAAGCTTTAACAAGTAAGATTATATAAAGATTATATAAATTACATATATAAAGAAAATATTTACTATAAATTAGTCCATCAGTAGGGATACATACAATTTATCAGCTTTTCCATTTAAAAAAATCTCCATTACAATATGATATTATCCTTTATGACGTCATTATGTATTACACATGTTTAACACTAAAAACTTCCTGAAGTCACTTACCTTAATTACTAACTTTTACCATTAAGCTATGGTTTAGGCGTGACTCCATTTACTTTACCTTTATTAAATGAACATTTTGATTAATGTACTAGAGCCATATCAGTGCCATTATGGACAATATATTCATTCTTACTTCTATATTTAGTAATATTTACACAATTTTTATTCTGAACTTGTCTTCTATCTCCTATAGAGTAATGTAAATTTTGATTTATTATCCTCCTAAGCATAGGACAACATATGTAAGTATAAGTTTAATTAAAGTTTAAATGTACGTATGTAAATCTCTTATACAAATATAGGAAGATAAAAATAGGTCAAGATTTTTCTAGTTTAGTACGTAAAAAAAGCATACTGCGTTTATTGATAATCATTTTACTTAAAAATATCCGATACATCCGTTTGTAAAGCACGATAACGTCTTGGCACGGTGCATGGCTGGATTTAGATAATATCGAAGCCAGAACAGACCTATTCATTATTGTTTGTGAGTATTTCCATACAATCTCAATGAAATTCAGCAATA